ACGTTTAATTAAATTACCAAAATTTAAAACAAATGATGTTTTTCAGTCAATACAAACTAGTTATTAATTACATAAAGTTTTGTTATTTCTGTTGTAATTGGAAGCAAAATGTCCCAAGTTCATTATTTTTCTTTTCTAAATTATATATTCACATATTTCGTTCGGCAATAGTTGATGTGGAAAAAATAATCATGATATTTAGCATCTCATACCTAAAAAATAATACAAATAAAAAATTTAACATAAAATGAATCCAATACATAGTTACATGTGAGCTTTACTCACAGATCGAATTACTCGAATGTATTTCTTTGGAAGAGGCCGGAAGGACGTCGGTAACAAAATATTTGCCAATGAGTCATTCTCGTTCATTGAACGTGAATTACGTTGCGTGTATTTTTGATATGCAGATTGCCAGAACGTTTGTCTATTTAGGGCACCGGTTTTGTTGTTCCTATGAACAAGTTCTATTTAGGAAGTAGTTTCATTATTATAGTGCGAATTTTCTTTGAAATACAATATATTATATTGCGATGTATTCCGTGTTACATTATTGCTATATATTTTTTTTAGTTGGTTTTACATGACATAACGGTGGAAATGAGCGCTCAGGGCCGACAGTAATTAGTCATTGCTAAGGTCATTCGTATATCTATCTTCACATGTGTAATAGATCTTTTCTGAATCTCAATTATATAATAGATTCTAAATTAATATTGTAAAGTCATTATTACTTGAATCTGTTCTCGAATACAGAAGACAATGAGATGATCTATCGATCTAGGTTCACATTTCGTTTTCTTAGAAGTAGCTCTAGGTCCAAAATAAAAATAAACGCCTAACAAATTAAAAATAAATATAAATATGTCAATATATTGTAGAATGTAAAACACTGTAAACAATAATGGAACAATAAAATAAATCTTATCTTAGGTGAAAAATACGCTGGTCAATTTATATTAAAGTCATGTTTTTTATACTTCGTATTCTACATGCCTGGTATAAAAATACTTTAAGCCAGAATTGGAATATAGAATTTTAGAAGTATTAAAAACGCTCTAATACAGGTATAATGAATTTATATTAAAAAAAGTATAAAATTGTCTTCCATACTGGTCGATTTGGTCAGTACAAATATACAATGTGAGAATAAACAGGATCGCCCGAGCAGGTGCCCCTTATGCAGAGAAATGTTGCTCGATGTGTCCCACATAATAGAGGCGTGTCAGGCCTTGGCACCATAAAGAGAGCGTGTAGGCATGCCGCCGGACTTAAGAAGAGTTCTCGAATACGGTAGCGAGTTTTAGAGTCCCCTGTTCCGCTTTTTGGAGGAAATTGTTTTTTTTTTATTGTATATAATATGTCTTATGTCTTATTAATACGTTTTGTCTGAGTGCATGTATTTATTAGCGTGATGGCGCGGGGCAAGGGTGAAATATAACGTCATCATCGCACCTCGAACGTTGAGAGCGTAAGAGTGTGTGCTCGGGATCGATGGCGGAATATTTATAAAAGTACTCCATCGACCCCAATCTAGTTTAGTTTGAGTATAGGTCGGTGGAGGAATATCAAGTACTTCACCGACCAAACGGAATGAGTGTACTGTGTGGATGTATTTATGTGTATGAATGTATTTATTTGTATGAATGTAGTGTTTAAAAGGTTTAAATAGAATATAGACATAGTTGGGGGCTGAAATGATCTAGATGTCTGATGCCCCAGTCAAAAAAAAAAAAAAAAAAAAAATAATAATAATAAACAGGAACAAGGATGCTTGAACGACTTTTTCATCTAGATCAGTGCGTTGTATTGACAAATTTGTCCAGTTTGCAATGATTAGAAAATTTTAATAATCTTTGTATTGTATGATTTTGTAGGTAGAGAAATAGTTTTTAGTCCACTCAGTCTCTCTCTTAAAAAATTAAATCCGGGAGCAGCGCATTTCCTCTACCGCTACAACTAACATTGCTGCTGCTGGTATAGCTACTACTACTACTGCTTCTATTGTTACTACTGCTACTACTATGCTAGTGTTACTTTATATGGACGAGTTAATTCTTTGGTATTTGATTAGGCGAAAAAAGTAAGAATATAGTAACAGGGTTTTATATCGCCACGCTTTTCTTTTTAACTTTATCCACATAATTATTCAGAAATCGTGAAATGCGGTTTGGTGTGATGTAGGTGTCAAAAAAACATTTTCTTTATCGTGCCAACGTTTCGATCTTTATTGAGATCATCTTCAGGGCCTGGGATTCACAAACATTGTTTAAATTTAACAAATACATGTAGGATGTGGANAGCCCTGAAGATGATCTCAATAAAGATCGAAACGTTGGCACGATAAAGAAAATGTTTTTCTGAAACCTACATCACACCAGACTGCATCTCATGATTTCTGAATAATCATCTACTAACGGTCACTAATCACCAAACATTTATCCACATAATCGCGCGGTCAATATTGTCCCAAAGCGTGTGATATTTTTGTACCAATGAAATTAGTTCGTCGTTATCAAAATGTCACAATCCATTTTTTAGAAGTTTAAAAATGAGGCGTATGAAAACAAGAGTCGATATGCTCTACAGAATGATAATATGCTGCGCAATGTACCGTCAGGCGTCCTCGTATAGAAAAAGTATCAAGCGTCCGAACATCCCTAGTGACGAAAAATCTTTATCCCATACCGGTCGCCTTCCAGTCCCCACGTCTGAAGGTCTCTCACACCTATCACCTCTGTGTGAACCGGGCCTTAAAATCTTCAGAAAAACTTGTAATAGACCTGTCGTATTTCCTCTATTTTAGTTGATATACTTTATCGTACAGATATGCATGGAGTGTGAAGTTTGACATATTCTGTCTATTCTCGGATTGTATTTTTGAATTGACAAAATCGACCAGCATGGAATGAGAAGTCTGTTTTATATATATCATATTTCTAATTCGGTAGACGCATAAATGGCCAATTTGTTAGGTTTTATAGCGTACAAAATTTAGTCCATTATTGGGGCCGCGGTGGCTGAGCAGTTGGGCGTCCCAGGTGTATTTGGTACCCTAGCGGAACAGGGTTTGAACCCAAGCAGAGCCCATGAAAAATGTATTGTAAAATGGTTTGTGCACTCTTCCGTGACATCTAATACTTTTATCTAACATTAATCCACTTCTTCTTCTCGTCTTATCGTCTTCCGATTCAGACAATCGATTTTTTTTGTCTTATCGGTTCCTAATCGTTCCTCGTCTCGTTCAGTTAAGTTTCAGATTTATCTGCATTTCTACCACTTCTGAAGACGCTAATTGAATCATTGGAGTATTTCCAATTCTGTAGGTAAAGGAACAATTAATTAGTTTGTTTCATTTAGTGGGCTAGGCTATTAATCCTTTCCGGTCGGATCATCTCGCTGGCAAGTTTTTAAACTTGCATTGATTGTATCAATATTTGTTGATATTTATAAGTAGTTTGGCTCGAACATTTTCTGCCTGTTATTAAGACAATAATAATATGACGGAGAAGAAACTTGTGTGTGTTGTTGCAGAAGACAAATACTGAAGATGTTCAAATACCCGAGAGTCCAGAGATGACAAGGATGATCTTATGAATGAAATTATGATAATAGTGTATCAACTTTCAAAATAAGTAGACATGTCTTCAAAGTAGTAGTGGAAACAGGTGGTTGGAAGTTCTATAAGAAAAATTTACTATAAACTGCTTTTATACAATCATTTATATTGGTTTCATGTTACGTTTATGATGTATTGAACATTAATTATATTGATTATTCGGAAAACGTGAGATGCGGTCTGGTGTGATGGAGGTTTCAGAAAAACATTTTCTTTATCGTGCCAACGTTTTGATCTTTATTGAGATCATCTTCAGGGCCTGGGATTTACAAACATTGTTTAAATTTAACAAATACATGTAGGATGTGGAAAAAATGAATTTATACAATGCAAAAAATATTTTTTATATTCAAAGTATTTCTACTCACTCAAAGTGTTTGTTTTCTGCGTAATTGTGCCATTTTTGCGTGCCTTGTTGAGTGCCAGTGAGATATTAATGTTTTATGTTTATATTCGTTGGATTTTGAAGGTGTAGGGAAGGAAGTCGGTATAGAAAGATATTTTTGTATTAGGAGTCGGCTTGTTTGAGGTGAAAAGATTGATTATATTACATATTTTAGAGCATCCATGAGCAAAAACATAAACTGTACTCCAAATTCCATGTTTTTACAACATTTGACAAACGAACATTTACGTGTACAATAGTCGGTGAACGTGCTTCTCTTATCATACACTGCAATTCCGAGTTAGATAAAAAGCTGATGTGTTATTCAACCCCTAGGTATTAATATTGTTCACGTATTGAATTCGAAGGTGTTGGTACTTCAATTATTAGAATATCATCGGCGAAATCATTTTTGTCTCCAGTTGGTCTTGACAACAAGTTTAAACAAAACGTATTACCTGTGATCATTATTACTTCCTTCCTTTGTTCCTCAACTACCATGTATTTGACCACGCCCAGTTATTACCACGATCGTAATTTATGCGGCCTAGCTTCAGCCTAGTCGCAAGAAGAATACTAGGGATTCTTCTAGCAACATGACTAGCAGGTGAGGACTATTTTAGTATAAGGATTTACGAAATAAAGTTGCAAAAGAATGTAGAAGGATCGTTTTATCCGTAAAATAAATAACGGTGAAAAAAAGCTGAGAGGTATAGCTTATACATAGCTTCCTTCTATAATCTTCATCAATTTATTCCCCAAATACGCCGGGAAAATCCTATACACAATATATCATTCTAAAGAAATAAATTTAAAGAATCTATTTAACGAAAAAGTATAGTACAAAGTAATTATTAAGAGTAGATTGTAATTATTAATTAGAGAACATAAATAAAACTTATTAACATGACAATTACTTGTGTAACAAAACTTGAAAATTTTCTAGTAAAATGAGCTATATATGAGTATGTTTGACATGTTTTCTATTTTTTTCAGGATCAATTTGAGAATTTATCGGCACACACTCTAAGAGGGATCGACTTCCTTGACAAGTACAACCACTTCATCAGGGAACGTTCTATGATAGAAGTAGAGTATGCAGCTAAATTAAGGTAATTTTCATCAAATAATGTATTTAACATAATAAAAACTTACGTAACAACAGTATATGCTTTTTTTAAAAATTGTTATGAATTTACTTAATGGTCTTTTCCAAGTGTTGTTTCTTACAATATTGACAATGGCGAAATGGAGAAACAATGGACAATTTCTGTTGTATTATTTCACGTTCATTCTTTGGTAAAAATACTTTCTCCACGGAGAAAACTATTACGTTGATCCTGGTCCTTCCAGACCAGCCGCATCCTATTTCCCATCACGGGGCTTCGTGCGGTTTAATTTGAGGAGTACGTTGATCCTCTGGAGAATAATGGGCGTCTCAAAAAGCGATATTGTCCAACCTGTAGGCTCTCTAATGACTAAGGGAACTTTTTTTTGTATCCTCCAATGTTTCTTTACACCGACAGCCGGCCTCGGATAGATTTTGATCGATCCTCGCCAAATAAGGTTGTAAATTATATTCGAGAAACTGTCGGAAAGTGACTCGCAGGGACAGTCGGCGAGAGTACAACTTTCAATTGGAGAGAGCCCTAGCAACGATGATGGTTCTCTAATTTGGCTTTGAATTTGAATGCGATTCGAAAGGATTGTGACCGCTTTCTTGTAGGGAGAGCCAAAATTCGGAAGTTCTTATTCAAAAAACGTGTTTGAAGACATAGTTGGTTTTATTATGATCAATCTTGTTAGACCCAATTTGAAAATATATTCAGCATCATTTATTTGCTGCTCAGCCGAAGCCAGTGCTAGCCACTCTAACAATTTTTCTCTAGTACCTACTGTATAGAATTTATCAACGATATTTTCTGTACGACCTGAAAACAACAGCAAAAATTGTGTTCTACTAAAATAAATAAATAAAATGATAGAGAAAAAGTCTCACGTAACGTTGTCATTTACGAAGTTTCAAACCGGTAATGAAAGTACGACCTTTAGATACAGATAATTTTTGCTGTGCTTTCACCAATTATACATACATAAAATTAATCATTTCGTTCAAATTATAGTAACCGTATAATTTTCTCCGCCAGATTTATTCAGCGATATACTTTCTGTATTCTTCAGTGTTAGCGCCTGATGAACAGGCCAAGAAAACATGTCATTTCATTCATCATATACATCCAAGATAATTTTTTCCCCTTATCTCTTGGAAAAGAACTGACTAACACAGGGAAACGTTTGTGTTGTTTTTGTTACTTTGCACGGTTTTTTTAAATATACAATACCAAGTTAGTATACATTTGGTTTTATTACATCGTAGTTTAGTAGTATACTCAGGTACTTTATCAGGCAAACATTTACTATTGCTTGTTTGCATTTTTGGCTAGGGTATTTTAGAATTTAGCAATAGTCTTTTGATTGTTTGCATCGTTGAATTTTTATTTTCTGCATCTTTTATTTTTATGTATTTTTTCATTGATTCTTAGTACAATATATTGATTGAATTCACAAATTTGAAGAACAATTTATAATTATAACTTTATCCCGTGAATATATATTTGTTTGAACAAGACTCTGATTTTATTTACAATGCAATTTGGCAAAAAAACATTTACAATATTAAATAAGTGCATATCGTTGTATAAACGTACTATGAAAATTATACTTCAGGATGAGAAGTGTTATTTGTTAGCTCTGAATTGAATTCCATGAGAGAATGCGGTCCTGATATACCATTCCATCACTTCGGGATAAAAATAAAGTAGATGGGGAAACAACGGACGTAGCTCGAAAATAGAATTGCTTTCCGTAACAGAATTACGTAGGAAAATTTGGAGGGAATTTCAACTTTACATCTGGGCCCAACATCTCTCGGATTTTCAGTAACTTCTTGGCGTCCGGATACAGTAGATAAGATAGAGATGATGAGGGGTTGAATGTTACGTGTTTATTTCATCGTAAAATAACTTTATCTCGAAAGCCCTTCTAGGAGAATCGTCCAGATAGATAAAAGCGAGCCGAATGAAAACCGCGGATCTGTTATTATTGGCTTGTGTACTGTTTAGTTTCCCGTAATAATTTCTTTTTTACCGGATGGAGGCACTGTAAACTAGTCCGAATAGAATTAAAAAAGTTGAAATTTAACACACAGGCCATAAATCAAGAAAAAAATTGAGTACGAATACGAGTAAAAATAAAGTTTCATTTAAGAGACAAGGTCTGAACACGAACTATAACTATGGACAAAATGGATTTCATAAATTGTCTTAAACTTTACTATTGCTTATCTTTTATCTGATTTGACGTTGAAATGGAAAGCTGCCAAAGGAGAAATTTCTATTTCTCACCTGTTGAAGACATCCGAATATTACTACTCTTTAGAAAATGGGCCTTAAGATTAATATCAAGATAGCCATTATTCTTAACTTATAATAAGGGTTAACTGGTCGTTCAAACTTCTCGTCCTTAGCAGAGAAACGTTTATCGTTGGGAAATAAAGGGGTTGTTTAAACCCGCCCGAGGAATATGGAATACTCTGGCGTGAGTGTGTGACGTCTAGAGTAAAAGTAAATTATTAGCGAGAATGGAGTGAGTTCAACCCCGTCCCGAAGAATATTGAATACTCTGGGGGAGTGAATGCGACCAGACATTTATGTGTATCGAGTATTGTGTTTATGTTAATTTATTGTAATGAATGTAAGTTATTAGCGTGAAAGGATGTGATTGATTATTACACCGCCCTGAGGAATATCTTGTACTCTGGGGTGAGTGTGTGTCGTCTGCAGAGTAAAAGTTATTAGCGCAAACGGAGTGGGTTCGACTCCACCCGGAGGAATATCGAGTACTCTAGATGAGTGAATGTGACCAGACTAATATATCTGTGGTGATGTATATTATGTAAGGAATGTTTTGTGTGTATTGGATTGTAGATGACACTTGAGGTACATGCTTTCCCGTATTAAAGGACTCGGTCGTCCTTAAAAGGACAATCAGGATCTTTAACGTCCGCACCTAGCCTATTCCGCCTTATCGAACGTTTTGATTCTCAAGATGAGAGCCGACGCACCTCCACATACGACAGAATGGTGTTACTGCCGCAGCATTGCTGTAGAGGGAGCTCAGCCCTGAAGGCCCAAGACAACCTCGCTCCCCGCTTGCCCATTCCGAATGGTCGGGTCTGCATTAAGCATCAGACCGTATGCCGCGCGCATAGTGCTACCTAAGCCGAAATACATCACCCTGGTCTCCCGCGCACTCCCTTGATAGAGAAGGCCACTATCTCCCAGAATATTGGGGCTTCTCAGGGAGAGGCAGAAACTACCGGATCCGCTCCGGCGGTTTTGTTTAAAGTGGAATTGCTAACCACCAAGTTTCCTTTCGATCATCCCTTTCCCAACCGAGAGTCGTTGGTGATGGTGTTCCTCAAGGCTCTATCCTCGGGCCCTTCTTTTTCCTTGAAAATTAAAGGAAAATACCTTCCCTAAGATTGTAAAAATGGCTCTTTACGCTGCCGATATCGCTCTGTTTTCCTCTTCTTGGAGGATAGACACAATATCGAACAAATTAGACAACACAATTCGCTACATAGGAAGTTTCTGCATCCGTTGGCAAATTAAAATTAATCAAAATAAAACGGAGGCAATAGTTTCCACCAAGCGTAGACCGTTCGTTATAAAAAGATCGAATTTGAAGGTGTAACGTGTCATGATCTGAGTCAGTAAAATATCTTGGAGTGATATTGGACCGTCAAGTCACTTTACGTTACTTACGAGGGTAAAAGCGGCTATCCGCATACTTCTCCCTATGCTCTGTCGCCTGTCAATAAAGTTCTGTACAAGGAAGTAGTCAGGCCGATACTACTGTATGCGTGACCCTCCTGGAGTCTCACATAGGAGTAATGCCGTCTGTAGGTTGTGCAGAACAATTTTCAGAGACTTGTGACAGACTCGCTCCTACAGACGCGCATATCGGAACTGCATGATGAGACAAACAGACAATGAGACAAACATGCTGATGGTGCTGGAATACATTAGAGATGCAACCTTTAAAATGATTAAATAATGGGGAGCTTGCATAATCTACTGCAAAGTTGGAGAATAAAGAATGCTCTCCTATAACTTGTCCATGATAGCTACGCTTTTTAATATAATTTTTCCCCCAAAAGAAAACAGTGTGTTGTAAATAATAAAAAATTCGTTACGAATTAATCAGCAGGAGGTAAGTGTCTCTAGACAGAAACTCAACTAAACCAATTTATATGATATATATATCTGTAAATAAAATTTCAATTTTGGCCTTTTTAAATTATATCTTGTAAAGCAAAATAAGTGCACTGTGTTGTTTTTTGTCTGTTTACTTATCTGTTGTCTATCTGCTTGCCTGCCCTCTTTCAATTCACTTAGCCTCTTTCTCTGTGTATTATCTTTCTATATTTCTGTGTGAGGGTCTTATCATTCTTATTGTCGTGTTATTAAATTTCCCAAATATCCTTGTTATTAAAAAATAGCTTGATGTCTTTTGTCAATATACAATTAATCTTCTGTTCGTCTAAAAACGGTAACTTTATCGATTATTTTAAGATATTGAAATTTTCAAGTGGGATTTATGATTTACGTTTGCCTTAAATTTTCCGTTTTAAAATTGGGTGTAATTTCAAACCTTTTTTTATTATTTAATAAAACTTAACTTTAATAAAAATATAAGTTGAAGGAACTGTCCAAAATAAATTTCTATGGCCAGAAAAGTGGTTATTTTATACGCAGTCATACAAAACTTCGTGTTTTTAGTATAGTTTTAATGTGAAAACATAAATTCCGAGATGATTAGAACATTTCTGAGCCGAGATATCGCAGGAAGTAAGGACCAGATGTTAATATTTTTAAGAAGCACAGCCGTCTTATTTAAGAAGCGGATCGTTAATCTGAAAATGAAATCTTTGTAACTCGTATACAAATCAAATCCTCATGGGTCGTCATGAATGGCGTTTTTAAAACCGGCTCGTACTACGATCCGTGATGTAGTCAACTGGCTGGAATGCCCGTGTCAGCTTTGCGTC